CACATCCAACTACCTGCAATAGTTCATACTACACTTTGCACCTATTTTCTCCTACGATAATCTTAGAACGTTGGCCGATCTAAGATTGTCGCTGGTGATTTCGTAACCGATCATCCTGTAGTGTGATTTAGATCATCGTGGCCGCTCCGATCTAATCAGGGGTTTTCCCCGACTGGGAGCTTAACGCTGAATGTGACAGCGCGGATTCTCCTCCGTGCTTTCTGAGGGGAAATAACGAGAGGAGTCCCAAACAGCTGACACGGCGCAACTCAAAATCCAGCGGATATTGGAGATAATAATATGTGGAAACAACATTAATGTTTATTCAACATTTCGTGCAAAGAATATAGAAATGACAAGGGGAGGAGTTGAAGCCAAATTGCTACCGCAGTTGATAAACCCGGTAGGTTTTCAGCTGTTCTTCGTTAACGTGACATAAATAGGTTATAATGATTTTCATTCAGTCAGGACTTTACGCTGACTCTAGCCACATGCATTGCAGGTAGATTCTAGTAAAGCATTGATTAATGCCTGGTTTTAAAATTAGTTAACTGGACTTGTAGCCATTACTTTGTGTCCATGTGGCTGGACACCACACGGCACGACGAACCCGATCAAACCGTTATACCTAGGATTTCTGTCGGCTAATGGTGGTCTCTCAGGTTTTGAAAATGGGCCGACAACTCTTAGTGTGCACTGGGCATTACACTAAGGAAATAGGAAGGGAGGGTCAGTGAAGAGCACCGGAGTTGAGCCTTTTTCATTCAGTGTCATCAACAGTAAGAAAAAACGGCAGGAAGAGACGATAAAGCCAATAATTAAAATGAGGTCGATAGGTTTAATTTATCTGCGATTAATTGATTTATCATTTATTGTGACAGGCCTATTGATAAGTCATAACTTTGTGTCGTTTTGCCCTTACTTTGCATAGTAAGGCCAACTTGAAACTGCCACTCCAGTAGAATTTTGCAATGTGATATTTATACATAATTTTTAGACAAAAAATTAACACTTCTGCTTTTATTTTAAACAGAAAATCAATAATTGATTTTCACATGTATATTGTCTTTGACTAGAAAATGTATTATTTTGCTTCTCCTAAAAAAACATACCTATATATCTAGGGAAATATATATTGTACCAATTAACATAGTATTTTACTTGTGAGAATTGTGAAAAAATATAAAACTTTTTTTAATCATTCTTCTCCTTACTGCCAAAACGAATCAAACAAGCTGATTTGATCTAATTAGTTGTCCTGTGTGTAACAGTAATCAGCCCACAGACATGTTGCTCATAATTTACCAGCTGTAGTTTTAAAACAGAGCTGCTGTAATGGAACTAATGTGAATTTTAATTTCTACAGCCCAACTTTCCCTTTTTCCAGACAGCCTGATATTTTTTCTTTTTGTAAACAAAGGAAATGTTTCATAGCTTATTTGTTGCCTGCTAACAGCAGTGCCTAGAAACAGGTGGTGGAGGGGGAGACTTGCATTTCACTATAAGCAGTACAGCTGAGCTGTAATAAATACATGGACCAATCACAGTTTGAATAAATCTGGAAATTTGTAAAAGTGTGCATCTACAACAAATAAAAAAAAAATTAACCACAAAAAAAAATGAGTGTAGTGATTATAGTTTGAAATGAAATATATTTATTTCATTACTCTTATTCAGTTAATGGTCCTTCTGCTACAGCCCATAATCAAATTAATTAACTGATTAAATGATTTATTTGTCAAGGGACATTATTCAGCGACAGACTAACAGCTAAAGTTAGCAAATTTTCATCATTGACAGTTGTCAAAGCCAGCCTAAAAATTAAAATAAAAATCACACATCACTTAAAAATATACAAGAAGATTATAAGAAATAATGCATTTTATAAAACGACACAAAAAAGAGCAATTTTTGCTTTAGACTTTCTCTGGGTTTTGTCAGACAGATGCTAACGTCTGTTTGGTTAACCCGCTCCAGAACCAAAGTTCAGCTTTGAAAGATGATTGTTTTTGAAAATTATATATGTGGTTAACTAGATATATATTTTATGTACTTATTTTTAATTGTTGGTAACTGTAGGTTACTATTTATACTGTATTTCTTTGTGAATTGTGGCATTGTGGCACACATCCTTTTTTGAAATAATTTACAGTTTCTCATGTTGCAAGTGGACATCATTTATTAAAGTAACTAAACATTTCTTTCCTCTTGACACATCGTGACAGAGCTGTTTTTCTTCTCCAGCTGCACCAGTTCCTTCTGTGTGTGTGGAACTGATTAATTGTGGTGATAACTTGATGTTATTTTTCTTGAAAGGACAGGGCTGCTGGCAGTGGAGAGGGAGGGATTGTTAGTCATGTTTTGGTAGCAGGTCTGCAAGGAGCCGAAATTGGTACAGTTATTGATGTGCATGGGCTTTGCTTTCCACAGATTTGTTATTCGCACTGCTCTTTCAATCTTGCAAGAAATAAGAACAAAAAATAAAAAATGAAAAATTAAGTATGAATGTAGTCTTGGATATGCAACCACTTCTACATACAGGCAGTACATGTTGATACCACAAGGAAACTATGATCTTGAACAGTACAAGAACTCTGTTTTGTATAAAAGACCTTTTTGTTTTCTTTAAAGTTTTAAAAAAACAATATTTAGGTAAGGTAAGGTCATTTTATTTATATAGCACATTTTCAGCAACAAGGCAATTCAAAGTGCTTTACATGAGTTACAAGGAAATACAAACAAAATAACAAACCAAAGGAAAGAAAAAAAAGAGGAAAGAAAACTAATCTAATGTTGTTCTAAAGTATGTAAACTAAGTGCTCCTGTTCAGGGTTGCTAAGTATCTAATACAATTTCTAAATAGTGAGTACTCTATAGTTTCTGATAAAATAAGCTAAAGAATGACTGATCTAATTCCTTTTCTGGGTTAAAGTGAGTACTCCACAATTCTAAGTTTTTTCTAAATCCTTTTCTGGGTTAAAAGTAATATAAACTAAGCAGTGACTTTTCCTGTTAAGTATTTCTGGATTCCAAGTTCGTAGTTATTCTAATTCTAATTCTGATTCCATTTCTGGGCTGTATGATCTAAATAGTGCGTACTCCACAATTTCTGATATTATTAATAAACTAAAATAATCCTTTTCTGGGTTAAATAGGGAGTACTCCACCGTTTCTTAAACAAAAAAGAGGAATGGACACAGTAGGTCAGGTGGCAACATTCAGACAAAACAAAGGGGCAAAACAAAGACACAAGTCAAGGCGGTGACGTCAAAGGGCCACGAAGGAACGTTACTGAGCGTCCTGGCAGAGTCCGATAAAGGTGTTGTTTATCTAGGAATGTCCTTAGGAGCATTCAGCTTTGCAACTCGATGGATACAGGAGGGGGTGAGGAGGGAAGAGCGTTGTGTTTACATATTTTCAAGGAGATTACAGATATGCAGCCCTTCCAAGGCCACACGGGGATTTAGGATTTTTTAGTGGCTGATAACTTTATTAAAAGTTATCAGAATTACATTTAAATATATTTGTCCTCATTTAGATGAACATATTTACTTAACAGGACTCCCTTCAGTGTATTATAAGCCTGGCGGGCCACCAGGCTTTATTTGTGGCCCCAAACATTCTAAGAATTGCTTATTTTTATAAGTCCTTTTAAAATGTTTGCATTTTTAAAGACTATATAGTTGGTGTTCAGATATTAATCTTCCAATCTTTTAGTAACACACAATTATCAAGTGATATTTTCAAATTTCCAGTCAGCTTTAAACATTTGTTAACTCGGGCTTAGCAAGTTTTCTGGGGGAAACCTTGTTTAAAATCTTACAGGGATTTAAGTACTTTGCCATTAAAAAGGCTTGAGATATTCACTACGGGTGTCTTTTCCAATGGATACTGCACATTAGTGTGTCAACAGTGACGAATTCAAGTAGTCTTTAAATAATTTATGTGCATCCTTTATTTCTGCTAATCATATTTCAGATTACTGCTTGTAAATGTTGTAATTGTGTGACTTTCTTTTCATTTGTAGTTTCCTTGGAGGTCCAGATCACACCTACCCATGGTGAGATTAGCCTTGGAGAATCCAAATTCTTCATGTGCGATGGTAAGTTACAGAGTTCATATTTTTTCTTTTCGGTACTTCATTTAAATAACATTTCATTTTATATTTTGGTTTTAATTTTGTGTGGAAGATAAAGAGAAAAAAAAGCAGTTTGTTTTGAAATCTGCATCATTTAAAAATGAGTCGATCTTGCCCAAAGTACTTAAGATTTTTTATACTGACAGAATAAACAATTTACTGTAGTCTTTAAATTTTGACTTTACTCGCTACTTGAAACTTAACAATTTTGACACTATCTTACTTTGGCTCAATTTCTGAGCTCAGCAGAACATTTGAATTTGATGTACTTAGGAAAAGACACTGCAGGTTATAAAAGGTACTGGAATGTAAAGTTGCACCAGGTCTTGCTCAGATGATACGCATTTTCAAATGTCTTTAAATTCCACTTGGGCATCAGTTTTTGTTGTTGTTGTTGTTTATATAGTAAGAACTTTAAAATGACAAAATATGTGCTATATATTCTGTGACTCAACACTTTACAAGTGCTATTTTAAAATCTGTTAAAAATTAAAGAAATTCCAAGGCAAAGATTTGTAACATCAAAGTAAACATATCTAATCTTCATCTTAAACTAAAATGTGTCTTTCAGTATGCTTTTGATTGAAGATGCAGTGTTAGAAAAATAGTGAGAGTTCTTAGTTTTGCATTCTGTATGTATTGATTGGGTTTTGATCAAAATTTAACTTGATGGGTCCTAATCACTTTAACTTAACTAGAACCCATCAAGTTAAAATCGTCTGATTCCGGCTTCTGGCCAGATAACTGGAGTATCTCAGTCCCGGTCCTCAGGGACCACTGCCCCGCATGTTTTAGGTGTTTCCCTTCTGCCACACAGCCGACCTGAATAAATGGGTGATTAACATGCTTCTCTAGCACTTGGTGGCATGCAGGGGTTAATGCTATCATTGGAATCAGGTGTGCTGGAGCAGAGACATCTAAAATATGCAGGGCGGTGGTCCCTGAGGACCAGGATTGAGAAAGACTGGTGAATTTCAAGTGTGAGGTTAGTAATTTGAGCGAGCCAGTAGTCCTTTTGTTGGTGAAATGAGATTGTGTCAAAATGAAGAAAAAACTTGACATTTTTAATTCCTAAAACAGTTAGCAGTTAGAGCTTTGATGTTTTCTAGGCTTACTTTGTGAAACGACTCAAATGGGAATCACGAGAAATAGTGAAACCTGCATTGATTTCCAGAGGAAGACACACTTTGTACTAACCTGTGCTTTAAATAAGAGCACATTGTTGTGTTTTTTTAATAAATATATTTTATGCAAATGTAAACTAGTTTGGAAAAAAATGCAACTTGGCCAAGATGGCCATGTTGACGTAGGAGCTTCAGAGATCCACAGATCAGGTAGGAAAATCTTTGGACTCCACAAAGATTTGGGTCCAATCAGATTATAATTTTTTTGCGTGGTCATTCATACTACTAATTACTGACCGCAGTCAGACGTGTGTGTGAACAGCTTACCCCAAAGCCACCCAGAGGAGCAGAAGAAGAGCATAGATGTCACACAGCACTGCATTGTTTCCAGAAGGAATAATGGACGCCACTGTCAATGGATTGATTTTAAAATCATTCGGTAACAGGAGCCAACAGTATTGTCACAAGACGAAAACAAAACAAAGCAAGCTAATAAAAAGAAAGCACAGCTAATAAAAGTGAAACACTGCTAAATAAAAGGAAGTACAATTAATTTTGCAAAGCATTGACTCCACCTTTTGTAGCGAAGTCTGTTTGGAAGTGCCATTGGATTGTGAAGTGAAGCGCTTCACTGACAGACTTCTTTCAGAATGTTCAGTCATAATTATCAGCCACTGTTTACCTCCACATTTACCATGTCTGGCTTCTTCTGGTGCAGAATTATGACGCATCTCTAATGTCAATGACGCAAAAGTCAAATAACATGCAACATGATAGTTCAAACTACAGATAGCCTTAGTATTGCACTACGCAAATCTGCATTCATTAAAGAGTGCTGGAAGAAAAGTATTGCTAAGAGATCAGGCAATCTGTTCAAAGTTTGCGTTCAAAGGACAATCCTGGAAGTAAACCTGCTTGAGGCAAAGAAAAAAAAAAGAGTGAAATGAAGGATTACCTTCCAGCAGGGCACAGATCCTAAGCATACAGCCAGAGATACTTTGGAATAGTTTAGCTCTGAGCAGAATAATATGTCAAAGACTAGACCTAAAACCAAAAGGGAATCTGAAAATATATGTTCAGAGATACTCTCTGCCTGAGTTGGAGCTATTTGGCAAATAGGAATTATCAAACATTTCAGTCTCCACTGCAAAGGTAGAGAAATGCACTAGAAGAGCTTAAATCGGAATGGCAGGTTGTTTTACAATGAAGTCAGAGTGGCTGTGTACAAATTCAGGACATGCTTTCCATGAGTTTTGCTTTGGTATTGTGTTGCATGGCTTAATGTTGGTGTGTTCTAAAATAATCCAAATAAAATACATTAAAGATTTTGGGTGTAAAATTGATATTACACCCAAAACTGTGCTTTACATTATGCAGTCATGATGAAATCATGTCAATCAGCTTTAAATCTTTTTAAAATTAAAAAAATACATCATCATCATCATCATATCTTTATTCCAGACACAAAAAAGGTCCATAATAAAAACATGAAACAAACAAAATAAGAAGTAAAAAAAACGATTCACCCGCTTTCAATATGTCATCTGCTGACAGGATCTGATTCCTCTAGACTTGGAGTGAGCCCACTACCGCTGTCTCTTTTCTCATCTCCTGCTCGTCTTTCTGTGTACCTAGTTGTAGGCGTTGCCAAACACGTGGACTGGTATGGCCCGAGCGGGGAGCGGATAGCCCCGAATAGACCAGACTTGACTGTAACCCGCAACGATGAGTCATCTTCCACCCTCACATTTTATGAAGCCAAGACCGATAGCGCCGGGACGTACAAGTGCGTCGCCACCAACGGAGACCAGCAAGCGGAGGCAACCGTTAAAGTGAAAATCTTCCGTAAGTGCCGTCCCCTCCTCCCCTCTCCTCTCCTCCACGGCAGCCTTTAAAAATGTTAAATCATACAAATATGCATGCAGGATGAAAAATTAAAGGAATGGGGTTTGTTGTATTTTATTGACTGCTCAAAGGCAACACATTATTCTTGTCGTTTTTTCAAGTAAGGGGTTTTTCCATCAGCTCAATAAAGTGTTGGAAGACCATTAAAGGGCTGTTTAATGATCCTGTCTGTTGTGTGGCTCTTCTGAGTAATGGGTTTTATTTTGCTTGAATGCCAAACATCAACAAATGTCCATATCCATATGATGAAATCAGTTTACTCAAAACTTTTTTTTGTCCTCTAGCTGTTTTAGTTCTATATGTATATGTATGTATATATATGTATATATATATATATTTATTTATTTATTTATTTTTTTTAATGCACATTTGCAGTATACAGTCCAATATTTTACAAAAGAAGAATGCAGCTTCATAAATATTCATTTTTACTTTGTTAATGCTGGGATAACTTAGAAAGTTGTGTTTTTTATTCAGGAAAACATAAAGGTAAGTAGCTTTTATAAAACTTACACCTGCTTCCTCACACCACCGCAGTCCCATGAAGGTTTGTCATCAGTCTAAAGGTTAGCAGGAGAGGCAGCAGACTGCCGATGGACTACACCGTTACGCCTCCAAAATACTAATAAAAGCAGCAAACTGATCTCAGAAGCTGCACTCCAAGAATCCCACCGATTGGGTCACGATTCCACTAAAAACCTGTTCATGTTCTTTATTCTTTGCACTGACAAGCATTTGTATTTTGTAAGTTTGATGCGTTTTGAATATTTTCAACACATCTTTACAAAGCTTTGGTTATATTAATTATTGTGATACATTTCTGAATAAGAACATTTTCATATTACTACATCTAATTACATCAGTACCACATTACAGTCGTTCTGCATTAGAAATGACATACATGAGGTTTTTAATTATGTAATATTGTAGTGGTCTATGCCTAAATCCTGTTGTGTGCTGAAAAGGTCAGAAGCTAGTTTCATTCAGTCTTTAAAGGGACGCTTTCAGTACTTCATACCTTTGTGATTTTCAATGTTTTAAGCCCCAATTTTTTCTGGTACAAAATGGAGAGTTCCACAAGGGGAGGTTTTCAGTGGACTATGCATCATTTTGTGCTTACCAAGAGGACATTTCCTAAATCAACCTAAAATCAACTCAGAAAATATCAACGGAATAAATTTTCTGTATTCTATTTCTTTTTTATTGAAAGGAAACGGTTACTTTAGTTGATAATGAGTTGACTGTTCCAGATGTGGATCAAATCCAACTGCACAAAATAATCGAGTGGGAGTCTAATACAAAGTTTTCAAAGGATAATATATATATTCTTTTATTGTTTTACAATTACTTTTGATTCTATTAGAGCATGGGGGTCAAATTCCCTTTGGGTGACATCAAAGGGCCAGTTGTGGCAGGATGTATTGGTAAAACTACCAATTAACAAATTGTTAAAATATAACAATTTGCATTGCATTCGATGAGCACTTCTAAAAATTCAATACTTAACATTGAAGTAATTTGGCACTATACAAATAAAAGCTGATTTGATTTGACAACAGTTTTATGCTCAAATATTTTTATTTTGAAGTTCTGTTTCTGTGGCCCTCAAGAGTCTAGAAACAGTTACAGTGTAGCCTCGAGTTTGACACATGTGCATTACAGTAGCAAATTGTAGTAGATATCTACATGTGTTTTGTTCCTTCATTAACTTTGAAATCTATTTTATTGCACTAAATTGGTTTATTTGCTTGTTTTAACTAGACTAGGCCTTGGTTGTTTTTAAATGTGCCAACTAAGTAAATGTGTGCAAAAAAATAAACTCATAAGTACAAGGGTGTGAAGTGTTTTGTTTATGGGTTCAAAATGGCTTGAGGAAGAGATTAAATAGAGAATGAATATGTGAAGAGCAAAATTCATCAGGAACTCTTCTTATGACTTTCACTCGCATTTAATCCTCCAAGCTATCTGCCTCACTCTATGCCACAAAATGATCCGTACTTGTTCTTCACAAAAATTAGATCCAGAAAAAAAAAAAACACTGCAACGTTCTCACCTCACAAAACCTCTGAAGTTGGTATAAGAAAGTGTAAATATGCTGCTAATCTTGCACAACACTTCATTTCATAACCCTTGTATGTAGAAATGGGGTCCAACCAACCCCACACACGTAAAACTTGTATCATTTGCCATAGTCCTCTACGTTGGCCTCAGTCCTCGCACGCTAAACTTAAGCTAAACTGCTCATTCAAAAAAAATGCATAAAGTTCTTCCGACCTCACTGTAACAATCACTGAATTAGATGAACCAAATCCCTGAGTGTGATTGTGGTTTACGTGTTTCATTGCAGAAAGAATAACCTTCACAAATGCACCGCCTCGCCAAGAGTTTACTGAAGGAGACAACGCAAACATCGTTTGTGATGTCACCAGCTCACCCCCGCCCACAGTCTTTTGGAAATACAAGGGAGCCAAAATACAGATGGAGAAAGATGGTAAGGCTGTTTGTCCCTGTTACTAGCTGTTGGTATCTTTTGATAATTAAATCATGAACTGGTCCTGTAATCCTTGTGATGCTTATGAACTCAATTTAAACTTTTAATGGAGATAATGACCAGTGGCGCCACAAGGGGGTCAGAAGAGGGCCATAACCCCCTGTTCGAAAACGTTGGCTACCTCACTGGCCCCCAACGAGAGTCATGCTCAGGTCATAGAAAGACACAGTCATTCTCTTCCATGAAGACATGAATGTAAAACTCATCAAATAAATGTATAAAATAAAAAATAAGAATAATTATTGGATACATACATAAAATACTTGTGTGTCAGATTTACGGGCGTACCAGAAACGAGCAAAAAAAAGAAAAGAAAAAGAAGGTTCCAGCTGGATCCGTTTTATGTAAAAAAAAAAAAAAAAAAAAAAAAAAAAAAGAAAATTTTTTACGTGGAAGTTTTTAACATATGTAATTAGTCAGGATTAATACACTAAAGCTTTAGCGCTATTATAAACTGTTTTGTGAAGTGAATCTATGCAGTATGATAAAATTTTATTATCATGCGACTTATAATGCATCTGTTCTGTTCTGCAGTGTGGTATAATTAGGGAAATCTCCCCAGCCTATATAGAGCTGTCAAAAGATAGACAGAGAATTTCTGAAAGCGCATTCTGGCACCCAAAGAAAGGCTACCTAATTATATTTATGCAGATCTGCTGGTGTCACAAAGTTAAAATTGCTTGTGCACCACTGCTCATGGCTTTCTTCTCTGGGGTTTATCTGTGCTTTGAAAGAAAAAAAAATTAATTTGGTCTCGGGTTTGAAAATAAAATCCACTCTTCTTCTCATTCGACACTGGCAGTTTAATAACGTTAGTGTTGGTTTTGCTTACTAGGAAATAACACATGCTCGTGTGGGTTGCAACAGCAGTTTGGATTACAGTTTTGTGGTTCATATTTCATTTCAAAGTGAAAAAAACTCCTGTTGCTTTGGGCATATTTTTATTTGCCTCCAGCTTGTTGGAGACGTGTAGGACATGTTAATAAAACTCTAACAAAATGGAAATATATATCCTGTTTAGGTAGTAGTAATGTTTCACAGTTTGCAACTTTGAATCATTAAAAACAAGAAAAAACTACATTTCATTTATTACAGTCTACAGTTGACTGGATTTGATAAGATATTGCTTGTAGATTTAAACAACCTGTGGATAATCTGAATTATTATTAACAGTGAAACGTGGAGCAGTTGGATGCAGTGAGGGGAGAAAACATCTGGCTTGTGCTGTACCTTGCAGAGGTTTCAGCAGCAATCATTGTTGTAAGCCTGTTTGAGCCTCTGTAAGCTGCCTTTTTGTTACAACACTACAGGTGGGCAGAATACAAGAGGATTGGAAAACCTTTGAAAAGGAATATCTGCACAGGCAATGTACATAGAGCTAAATCCACAAGTAAACATGTACTCCTGCATGGCTTACACCACTGTCTATAAATATCCGCTTCACCTTAAAGATCACTGCTTATGTAATGTCCTAAATAAACCCTTCTTATGACATACCTTTATAAAAAGGATGGGAAAAAATGAAGGTTTTTTTTAATTTTCCAACAAATGATTAAAAATTAAAAGCTATGTCTGTTAGAAAATGGTACCTAAATGATTAATTGAATTAAACATGGTATTTTAATGTATTTCTAATACTGTGTAGCAATAAAACATCTGTAGAATGTGCCCATTCTTTTTTCAAATATCCGATTAATCGATTAATCGTCAGAATAATCAGTAGATTAATAGTTTACTAAAATAATCGTTAGCTGCAGCCCTGTTTCAAAGGTACCAGAGTTTGGAGGAGTAGAGAGCAGCAGGTTTTGAGTTGAAGTCTTTTATGAAGTTCCACAGTTATTTGTAATTCAGTCATGTACTATACTGTAATTCAATATAGTACATGGAAATGTTTTAGTTTTAAGAAATATTTTGAATCCGATGCATAAAAATCTGCTTCCAGACTAAAACTATTTCATGATAAAAGTGAGCTTGTGATTAGTTGTGAATAAATGCGTTAAATATGCAGTTCAGCCTAGCCACAATGTAGGTTTTCTCTCAGATTATAGGGTTCCACTTATTAGATTATTTTTAATGACTAGTTTATTGTCCTTTATTAATTCACTGAGTACAACCGACTGTTGTTTTTTGTAGTTTGTGTAAAACACTTCTTTTTTTCCAAACCAGTCTGCAAAAATGTGTTTGAAACATCTGAAAAATATATTTACAGGAAAAAGGAACCATCATTTTAGTTTTGGCTGTTTCTTGGATATTTTTTTAAAATTATTTGTTTTAATTATTTGGCATAAAACTCTTCCTAAAACTTTGATCAGAAAGCCTCTAAGTTTTATGCAACAGGGCAGAGCTTTCAGGAAATAAAACATGAATTATTTAAATATTTTACAAATAAAGATGTATTAATAATGTATTGCATTATTAATGTTGCGTGTGAATGCGTGCGTGCGTGAATGGATGGATGGATGACTAGTTGCAGTGTAAAAGCGCTTTAGAGTGTTCTAGTCTAGATGAAGTGCCATAGAAGTACAGACCATTTACCATTTAATATAGACAAGACTTTCCCCATTTTTTCCCGCTCTGGCCGTACAATGACAGCTCCAGACTGTAAACTTGTCAAAGTAACAAACAAATAACTCTTTCATCCTCTTTTTCATTTCAGTTCGTTTCAAGGTGCTAAGCAACAATCACCTTCAAATCCGCGGCATAAAGAAGACCGATGAGGGCATGTACATGTGTGAGGCTCGCCTCATGGCCCGCGGCGAGATTGATCTGCGTCCCATCAGTGTCGTGGTGAATGGTTAGCGACCTCTTCACATCGTTTCCTCTTCCTTTTTGTTCCCGGGTTCATGGTTTTGTGTGGCAGGTGTACCATGACGCACAAAGAAAGCAGTAGATACAGAAGAGGGGGGACCACGTTGGGTGTCATTGTAGAGAGAGTTGCCCAGAGCAACCGCTTATCAAAGATGTTCTATGCTAATGAAGCCTGTTTCCTGCAACTTCTGAGACACAGAACACGACTAAAATTAGTACTCTGAATGTGTCACAGTGACTGTTTCGGTCTCGGATTCTGCTATAGTTTTTTTTTTTTTTTTACATGTACAACAGTACATGTTGTTGTACATGTAAAAATGTGACGTATGAACCTCTTAATGGGTTAATACGCCACATTCCACTCTTATTGGCAAGTCTGGTGAAGATGTGTCAAAAGCTTTAAGGCTGTATTAATCTTGCACTGCAGTAGCATAGCAGTGAAAGCTGCAGACAAATCCAGAGTGTTGGGTTTCTCTTTTCCTATCATATTTCAGCTCAACCTTATGGTTTTCTAAAGTACGGGGACTGTGAGGTAGCCCTGAAAGAATGCTGATTTTGTGTTGAGTGAACCGTTTCTGTATTGATTTGGCCTGGTGTTTTAGTGTCATTGTTCATAAAAACCAAATTATATTTCCTGTTTTCTTGTAGAGTCCACCACATTTTTATTTAGGTATTTCGATGGCTTCTCAACTAGTTTCCTAGGGCCGATTTATGTTTTCGCATCCACCTGAATAATGTGCAGTTGTGCCACTGGGACTAGCCAAACTGTGACTTATAGTCCAGAAAATATGGTAATTGAAAAAGGCTTCTTTTCAATGCTGCTAACGATTCCTAAAAGGAATCTGTGGCACCAGCATAAAAATGACGGTTATCATTAATGTATGTACTCCAAATAAAGTTTGAAGTTTTAAAAAACGTATTCTATGTGAGATTATACTGCTGCAATAAAATATTTTTATTTCAGTGCTTTTTAAACATCTTCACTGAGGCTGCTAATTAATAGTAATGTGTTATATTTTAATCTCTCTCTATGTCTATTGATAACTTGTAAATGTCCCTATCTCCATGTTTTATTTTTTTTCTTGTTTAACCATTTCTCTTTGTCTACATTAGTGCTCCCAACCATCAGAATATGGCAGTCAGAAGTCAACGCCACAGCAGAGGTTGCACAACCTGCCATTCTGACTTGTGCTGTTGATGGCTACCCTGAACCCATGGTGACCTGGATAAGGTAAACCTCTCTGACTCGTAGAGACATTTGCCAGATTTTTACACAATTCAGTTATTGCTGTTGTGAAAAGTAATTTTATGAGGCACGAAAATGCTTAATTAACATAAGTATGCATATAGGAATAATGTATCTTTTGCACTTTTTGAACAGAGACAGACCTATTTTCAAGGAAAATAAAGTAATGTAAAAGAAAAAAAAATCTTTACATTTTTTAAAAATTTGCTTATCAAATAAAATAAGTCTAAGTCTAAATGTGAGTCATAGCCTTCTCAGTCAATGGAAATACATTCCCGGCACTACAGCAGCCTTATTCTAATTTGTTGTCCAATTTTTGTATTGCATATTTATTTTGCTATTTTGATTTTTTAATATTTGGTGACAAGCACCAAATCTTTGTTTGGGCTTCTTCACCCTAATCTTTAGCCTCCTCCAGAGATTCTTTCAGATTGAAATCGGAGTTCCAAAACATTAATATTACTTCCATTCAGAAGACATGTTAAAATGAAAAAGTCACTTTAGACCTGAATCTTAAAGGGATCTGAATATTTGTGGTCTAGACTGGAATTCATGAATCGGAAAACATCAGCAAATGCTTCTCATTGCACAGGCAGACACAGACACCTAGCGTTAGCTTTAGCAAAAGATTTCTGTAATGTCATGGTTCTGTTCTCATGTTGAGAAAAATTTGCCATCTATTACATTTACAGCGTATTACTTTGCAAATTAGTCCAAAACAAAAGTAAATTTGTACGCCGGCCTGCTTTGAATCGTTGATTTCACCTGGTGACAAAGCTGTGATTACTTTTTGTCAGCAGCATTAATATATATTTTATGTTTAAAGGCAATTCATGCCATAGTTTAAGACATTTTCCAATGAGCCAAAACAATTAAAACATAATATAATCAAAGTCTGTCCAAAATGTCAACGCAGCTCAGTTAGACGTTTGTTGAATATTTATCGTAAAGTTGACAGAAAAAGGAATAATGATTTATTCAAAGAACACAACACATCATTCCCACTGTGTGGTTTGGATCTAGGTTGCTACTTCGTTATGCCAGTCATTTAAAACGGTACCGGGCTGCTGATGCATAACAGTGAAGTAAAAGCTGGCAGCAACAAACTAATGAGGCAGGGCTAATCAAAAATAATGAGCTGTGTGAATTGTACGTGTTCAAAAACGGTATAAGTTGATATCAATACATATAGTTATCTATATATAAAGTTTACATCTTAAGATTTTCCCACATGTTCATCAAGTGGTTTGTGTGAGATTAGCATCACCTTCTGCATTTAAGATGCTAATTCAGCTTAAGATTCAGTGAAAACATTCTCGTTATCTGGGATGTTATTCATATAGCAGAACTGCTCAATAAATGCAGTATTAATCATTACTAGAGCCCAATATTCCATACATAGCATAAATTGAATGACATGTAGCACTAAAAATTCCACATTTGAGTTAAAGCCTGACTGAACCTAGGCATAAAAATATTGTTTCTGTGTGCAAGACACTTCAGCTTATTAGTGATGTTCTGCAGACTGATTTATTCATTGCAGAAGGAAACTTAATCACAGGGTAACAAAGGTAAACTGAAACCTGAGGAGCTGCTTGTCAACAATAGCCACATTATCTGTGTATATGAATACAGCCATTGACAGGCTCCTGCTTTGTTAAACTGTTTCCATTCATCTTATTTCCAAGACAGCAGATAATTACAGACAATTTAGATCCGGGGTCACAAAGTTTAAACAGCCCAAGAAACACTGTTAGACTTGGCTTTCTGGGTTTTATTGATAGATTCAGTTTATCCTAGCTCTGTTAGAGAGGGGTGATGTCTTATTAAACACTTCACTGAAAGACAAAGCAAGCTTTCAGACACTGACAAATAGAAGGTTAGAAAACAACACTTCTTTTAGATTGCTAGTGTTTGGGACAAAGCATGTGTTCTCTATTATGACAAGATAGAAATTAAACCGACTTTCGAATAAAGCTGAATGTATGCACCATGGATTACATAGAAAACTGGCCTATTTGGTTTTATAAGCTGTTCATGTTGCATGGAAAAAGTTTAATTCAGATAAAGATTTGAGAGCCTTTCCTTCATTGTGAGCACTCCAGAGTGGTGTGCTATTCCCTTGAAAATCTGAGCTGCTAATTGAATGAGATGTTTTCAGCTCTGGGGGGAATCCAAACAAAGTGCTAGGGGTGTTTTGGCCAGTACTTTGCACACCAAAACATTTGCACTTAAGCAAAGTAAATCAAAGATTTCTAATCAACTATCAACTCTGACATGTTTGTCATTTGGGAAATTACAACTTAATTTGAAGAAATGCCAAAATTCATAAAGAGGATATAGCAACCTTTACACATTTTAATTTCAGTTGTATTCCCAATTGTTGCTCATTAAAGTTATATTCATTTCCATGTTGGAAAATGAGAAATATGTAAGGGTCAAAAAGAGCACAAAGCAGCTGAAAATTGCAGAAGAATGACACCAAACAACAACGTCAGTGTTTAACATTGTTCAACCCAGATTGATCTGGTCACAGTGGAGCAAATGTTGATTTCACAAAGTGAAGGTTTATGCTGTCATTTTATCAGGAGAATAGTTTTCTGAGAGCATTAGCTTGGAGATCTAGCCTTGCCATTACCTTCCTACGCAATTCTGCTCGATTCTCTTCTCCTTTCAGTGCTTCGTGTTGGATTTGTCCCAATGAGCTCGATTTCTAAGAATGCATTTCATCCTGGCCAATAGGCAAACAGAAGGAGGAGTTGTGACATAGAGTTTTTGCTCTGTTTTTGAATTGTAGTCTGCCTATTGTAGTTGGTTAAAGTGAATGACATTCAGTTCATGTTGGTCATGCCTAAAATCTTGAGTAGTTAAAGCTTCATAGCGTAGCTTCCTTCGTGATCAAGCATTTGCATTACATAAATCATGACCAAATATTAGTGCTCAGGTAAAATCTTATCCAATCATTTAAAACTTCAACTGTGTCCACGTCTCCAGCTGTTCCAATAGCCGGTGGTCCAGACCCTCTGGATGATGCGAAACTTACAACAGGCTATACTAGACCCAACAAACTGGTTTGGTACTACACCACAGACTTCCACTTGCTCTGCGGTTAACAGAGTCTGTTTGTATATGGGAATGATCCCTTGTGGAAAAGTCAAAACTTTGTTTCAAAACCCAAAAACTCTGCCAGCATTCAGGTTATGTGGAGTGATAAAATTATTATTAGGCACCTTTCACTGATGAACAGATGATACTTTAATGTCTGCTCCAGTTCTGACCTGCACTGTTACTCTGACGTGACCTGGCATCGGCTTTCCCTGTTCTCACTGCAGCTGTCACCAAATTAGCATACTTTATATTAGACAGAGAATGTGTACATTTAACTCTTCCACTCATCATTTTGTTTCATTTGTTAATGTTTGCAGAACAGGACAGTAATTTAGCTGGAAAAATCGTATTATTTTAATGTCACTCAAACCGAATCTGTCTGGAGTCAGTTTTGTCACAGCATTTGCTCTAAAAACTCCCTTTACATTAATGCTTGATGGTAAAATATGAAAATATGCAGCAGTCAGACGCGCACTTCTTTATTGGGCTGAAACACGGAAAGAAATTAGTCCCAGCTGAAGCTAATTATTATGAATACACATACAGGATGATGGTTATTAGATAGCGGTTATTGATTGAATCTGCCTACATCACCAGATGTCTGGTACTGACAACAAATAAAAAGTCAAAGCCACTAAAAAAAGATATCCATGCTCCCTACTAAACAACACCCACGTCAGCTTTACCTCGTCCACCCCTTAGATGCAGCTAGTTTTTTGCCAAAAGCAACATAGCAAAATAGAAAACCAGTACGACATGCCATCACCTCGATAAAAGGAAAAAAAAGAGGGGTCATGTACCCGCTATGACTAAATTCCCACAATCTTGCAATCCTGCAAAACACACATTCAAAGGATGAAAAACAACTCAGAAAGAACTGCCTTAGTGCAATCTGGCAAATCAAGGAAAGACTTGAATTGATTTTACTTTGCGCAACATTACAGTGCAATGTGTGTTCATGTAATGAAGCATTGTAGAGAGGAGTACCACAGCCTAACAGGATCCAAGCAGCACAATTCTTTAAGCTGCTCAGATAACACAAATTAAATAGATCTGCATATCATTTTTGGCTACATGCCTCAATTATGTCCAAGCTATTTCTCTCAAAGTATACTTCACTCCCAGCTGTTGAAGTGTGTGCGCTCCAGAGGAAACCTGCCATCTGTTAGACAAGGATGTTACTTCCTGAACAAACTCGACATAAAGTTTGATTCCCTTTTTCACTTGGAAAATGTAATTTGTTAGTAAAGAGCCTCTACTAACAAGACTGTGGTTTTAAAACTATTGGGTGCATTTTACCTTTCGTCGTAGTTCAGATTTGTAGCTTCTTTTTAAACATACTGTAGATGGAAAATGTGCTTTGAGAGCAAGTTGTAAAATGATGAAGGAACAGAACGTATTGTTTAATATTTTCAGAGAATCTGTGCGTGAGCTTTAGGTGGGCTGAAATGTCAACATTAATCATTTGAGTTTGTGATTGTTTGCCGAGAGTGCTTGTGGAGCTTAACAACCAATAGATCCAGCCTACCACTTACTAGAGTTTGCTTCTCTTTTCATCACTTTAGTTCATGTTTCAGTTCATGCTTTTTTGGCTTTTTAGCTGCTGCTCTGATTGGTGAATGTTATTTTAACGCTGTTCTAGCAGAAAAGCATCAAAGCCACACATAATAAAATCTGATATAACGCTTTCAGAGAGGATACTTTTCACTAGCTCATATTTATACAGTTGGCAATTTACTTTTTTAATGTTCCCTGTGTTAAAGTGTCATTGTGAAGGCTTTTAGTTCCCTATGCTATATGCTAAAACGTGATTTGGAAAACTGGATCACTTTTTCTTTTCAAATCCAGATGAAATTCATGTATGCACTCAAAATGATAACAATAGAGACAATAAAAATCTACAAAAAGGTTAGGGTGCTTGACATTTTCACTACACTGCAAGTCAGCTGGCTGATAAAAGCTATAACACTTTCCAGTTGTTTACAGCAAAGACTAATTTAGCTGTTTGGAAATGTTTCCTGTTAAAAAAAAAAAAAAAATCACAGACAGCAAAGGTGTGGAAACTTCACTCATCAGTCTTAAACTGTTTTAAAACTAAAGTTGGTATGTTGTTTTTTTTAAACATTTCCGTTGAGCAGTCGACTACAGAGAGGCACTATCTACTAATTTAGAAGACTGTATCAACCAAGGTTCCACCATCATCAGTGTTTTGTATTATCTTAGCAGCTGCAGCAGTGATTTTAAATTTTCACTTTTAAATAAAAGCAATTAGATCATGGCTTACGTTTCTGTTTTCCCTTTTGGTTTAAATACCGTGATACTGGGATATTTTCTCAATTTATTTTTTTCTCACGCCACACCCTAGCTATTCCACATGCTCCACTGGTAGATGTAAACACCTCTCACCTGTCTAGCTAGAATAATGTATAATGTCCTCATAATGCTCCCCTTTAGTCTTTGCAGAAAAATTTGCAGGGTGTTAAAAAGTAGGCTAGTATCACAGTCAGACAACAACCCAGAAAGTGATGAAAGACTCGTACTTCAGTCAGTCCGATTCCCCAGAAAATGGGTTCAGTGACCCAGACCAGCTTTCTTACTCCTGCTGAGAAGGACGGGCTCACCATTCTGAACCCCACCTGTCACCACCTGGGTGCTGACAGTCTTTAAAAACCACATAGACAACAGGCTGCTAAAAAATTTTTAAATGATCCATTTGTTGACTTCCTTTAGCTGCTAATTTACCAACAATTCTCATTAGTAAATACAGCAAAGCTGAAATATGACTTGGACCCAGTGAAGAACCGACAATAAATTGGGATCAAAGGTGTCAAACGACTTGCAGAAGAAAAATGTGCTGCTGTACAAAAAGAACACATTCTGTGTCAGATGTTCAGCTTTCACATCTTCTCTCTTCATCGTCACTTTTGTACTTTATCTCCTGACCTTTCTCACTTTGTTCCCAGGTGGGTTTAAGAACTACTACACGCTTTCGACAGAGCACCGCAAAGAGGTCGGAAGAGTGGTGTTGGGATTGACTGGCGTCAGTGTTTTAACACTTTGTGCGTTATCAACAGGAACGGAGTAGAACTCAGAGACGAGGAGAAGTACGGCTTTAATGAAGATGGCTCCGAAATGACTATAATGGATGTAACCAAGCTGGACGAAGGAGAGTACACGTGCGTCGCCAAGAACAAGGCTGGGGAGAGCGAGAAGGAACTCAGCCTGAGAGTGTTTGGTAAGACAGATTGTTTTCTAGAAAGTACGTGGACTAGTGACAGGATGAAAGGTTCCAAGTGAGTGGGAATTTTAAATTATATACATATATAACCCACATATGAGTGTGTACGTGTGGGGAGGAAGAACAATAGTACAGTTTGTGTCTGTTTTAAGTCGGAAAAGAATAAGGTGTTGTTTTTGTGTGGGTTGTCGTAGGGATAAAACCGGAGGAATTAGAGAGCAAGTCAAATGCGCTCGGTCTGAGTCTTGGAATGCGTTCAGCTTTTGTTTATTTACGCCCATTAGCTTGTTCCTGTCTCTATTTTGTCCTGTCACAACTGGATTTTCAATTCTCGTCAGTTAAAATTTAGAGTGGGCTGGCTGCTGCAATTTATTTTCCCTAAACAGAAGACTTGGCGTCTGTAATTTCTTCAGAGCAAACAATTATCTCAAAATGATTCAAGACAGCAGTCAGATCACTGTTTGCCTCATTATTTCAAAGATTTTTCTCTCTCTCTCTCTCTCTCTCGCTGTCTTTGAAAGCTGTGGTTGCTTTACATCAGTGTGTGCAAAGCTGCAATCAAACGCTCCTTTGTGAGCATCCGTGTTGTTTTTAAGTACAAATCACAAATATGGATTTACAGAGTCCTTGGTTTACTTTTAACTCAACAGGAGTCCTTTATTATTCAATGAAAACTTTTACAGTGTTTGATTTGATAATAATCCTTCATACAATGTGGAGCCGTTATGCAATACAGACCATTATAATAAGTCTCAAATGTAAGCAAGCATTACTGTACGTTCTTGACCTTTCTAGCTTTTCAACTTTATGTCAAGTTACAACTAAAAACTTCAATTTATGAAACTTCATAAATGACCGATACAAAGCAGTGTACAGTAGGGAACTATAGGGAACATGATACAATGTTGTCAAATTGTATTTGTATTCAGCCCCTTTTTACTTTGCTACTCTTTAATAAAATCCAGTGGAATCAGCTGCCTTTATACTTTGTAAGTCTTTAGGTGACTTATAAACATTGCAACATTATTGATCTTGTTGTAACAAGAGCAATAATGGAAAAGTTTAGAACAAAGCATGACCGTTCTTGTCTGTTGCTAGACTTTAAAATGACTTTTCCACAAAAGTCTGACTGAGGTCAGACTAGATTGACCTCTAGTCAATCTAGAGGTCAATCTTCTGTTGAAGAGTTGTCTCTTTAAGAGAAGTATAAAACTGTTGAAGAGACAACTCTAAAGACTTGCTACTGTACTTGTAGCTAAAGCTGTTATTACAGCAAATGCACATAATACTTTTCAGTTTTTTCATTTCTTAAAACTTCAAGCATTTATCAATTTTAGTTCCCTTTACAATCCTACACCACTTTGTGTTGACCAATCATAAAATCCCACTGAAAGACAATGAAGTTTGTGGTTGCAATGTGACAAAGTGAAAAACTATACCGTTTCTGAAAACACAATTACTATGTTTTAAACATTTAAAGAAGGATATCCTAAAAACATTTACTGTAACAGAAAATGGAAAACTTTCTCTGAGGATCTCTGTTTTTCTGTTTGTTTGTTTTTTGGCCATCATGAATAAGTTTACTAGAGGCCTGGATTCACTGTGAGTTTTATTGATGTGTTTAGAAGTAAGGTAGAATAGCTGGAGCCAGACATTATACTTAGATGTATTCAGAATTCCAAACCAATAGCAAATGCAGACAAAGAAAGACTTGGTATTATTTTAATAAGACTGCATTTAAAATTGGAAATAAAACAGTTTGAGCTCCTACAGTCCCTGAATAAATACAATTAGAACTGAAGTAGCTCTTGGTTTGCATTATTTAACCATGATTCATTCTCTTTTTTTTTGTCTGTTCTCTTAAGCAAAAGATTAAATGTTTTACTTGGAAGGATAATCCCATTTCCACTATTAAATGCAGTAGTTTGGTTTTGTGCTGTATTTTCAGGGGGACTGTACATTTAAATTCAGACATTTATTCCACTGCTGCACATGGACAATATCCAACTTATTTTTGTTTCGATTTTTAAAAAAATCTTTACATTTTTCATCTACTTTTTAATTCCTGCTCCCTACTATCAAGTGTATTACATTGCTCTGTTTATTTATGCTGCAAATCACCCAGCTAAAATCTGCGGGTGTTAACCATAAGGTTTATTTATCTGCAGTTAAACCGAAGATCACATACATAGTGAACCGGACCGCTTCAGAGACGGAAGAGCAGGTAACTGTGACTTGTGAAGCATCTGGAGATCCGACTCCAACCATCAGCTGGAGCTACGGTGAGCAAGTCTTCACCGAAGGAGACCAGGTAAAGTCAGATTTGATTTAACTTAAATCCACCATAACTTTAATAAGTGAGCCAACAATTAAACATGGGGAAATAAAACATTTAGTCAATCTAGTCTAGTCTGTTTTGAATGTTTTAGCTTTGTGCATCCTATGTGCTTTCAAGTGTGAACAGAATTATGAAAAAATGCATATTTACCTTCTTTAGCATACTTTATTTTTTGATGGATTATGTAGAATTGGAACATTGAGCGGTAACCACCAGGGAGAAACACAAACCTGTAGGCAACAGGTGTTTTCAGAAGAAGAATTGAGTACCTTTAACCTACTTTCAAATGATGTATTGATTTGGTGCAGATGGGGGACTTTGAAATTCATTACAGGGTTCTTTCACAGGGTTTAAATCTTGTTCACTGGCTTTTTAAATCTTAAATCAGTAGCTAGTTTTGAATGGCCCAGTGCATTGTTTGGTGAAACTCAGTGCCTTTATAATACCTGGCAAAAAAGTATTCATACCTCTTGAACATTTTTTTGCATCACAAACTTTTTAATGTTTATATTTCACACTTGGACCAACACAAAGCGGTGCATAATTGTGATGCAGAAACAGTATTTTGGAATTTTACAAATAAGAATCTGTTGCTCTCGTATTTATCTGTCTTTCTAAATAATTGCACGTTACATGGTGATCTTAGAGGTTTGTTGGAGAACTAGAAGCATCATGAAGACCAAGCAGCACTGCAGACAGGTCATGGAGGAAGTTGTGGAGAAATTTACAGCAGGGTTATTTCATTAATTAATAGCCTTAGCTTTGAAGATTGCACAAAGCTCTGTTCAGTTTTCTATGATTATGGGAAGAGTTTGGCTCAAACCTACCGAGACATGGCCATCCACCTATACTTACTGGCAGGGGAAGGAGGATTTTAATTGGAGAAGCTGTGAAGAGCTTGTAAATAACTCTGTACAAATCACCAGCTAAGGTGGGAGAATCTGTTGACAAGCACTCTGCGAATCTGGCCAAATCTGTGCAACAGAGCCGAGAAGTAAGTCATTGCTGAAAGGAAGTTGTGAAAAAGTCCTATTTGGAGTTGGCCACAAGCCGGCATAATGTGATAGGGAAGCTTTACTTTAGCAGGGTCAGAAAGGTTAGTCAGAGTTGATGGTGAGATAGGTGGAGCTATTAAATAGAATAAAACCTGTAAGAGGCTCAAAAAGACTTGAAGATTGGGCAGAGGTTCATCATCATCCAATAGGAAAAGCCCGAACCCTAACCATACAGCTGCAATGGAAAAGATTAGATAAAAACATTGTGTTGTTACAATACTCTGCATGCCATCTAATTAAACTTGAGACTATTTACAAAGATCCATAAAAAGTTATAGTCTTGATATGGAAAGCTGTTCAAGACATTCTCCATAAGAGTTGCTGCAAAATGAAGTTCCAGGAGGTAATGACTCAGGTGAATTGATTACAAACACACTTTCGACAACAGTGTTATTTTCCCAATAGCGTCATAACTGTGCACTGCTTTGTAATTCAACAAGAGTATGAATACTTCTGCAAGACTCTTTACATTTGAGACAAATGTCCCCCCAGTTGCAGGGAAAACAATCTGCTAAATTCAATTATACCACTCCCCAAAGTAAGCATGCCAATTAACGTGATTGAAATGAGTTTCTTATTTGCTACAATGAGCACTTGACTCAGCATATGTGTGTTTTGTACTTTCAATCACTATTGCCATTTTGTGCTCATGTCAGTGATTGAAATACTTTTCAATTATGGCGCTACGGTGTCGCCGGACATTCTCCCGCCATCTTTCAGACTCGTTTATGAGAGCCAGCTTCTTAATCTTTCATCACATCCTGAATCTCCTGAATGTTTTCATCTGTAATATTTTCCACATTATTACATGGCTAAACCATCAAAAGCAGCGAATACCCCCATGGGGTATTCTCATACATCTATTGTCCACATGGCTTACTTCTTTCAAGGTGTTTGGTGACTCACTGCAGTCGAGAAATAAAGAAATAAATAAAAGGAAAAAAGGGGGTTATATGCTCTAGAGATATGCTTCAGTTCATAGAGTAATTTTGGAGCCGGTCCATTACATACGCTACATTTTCTCCCTACAGGCACATCTAAACAGGATCTATCAGGTATGAAATCCGCGTAGCACAGAAATGTCCCGGAGTAGTGTGTAAAAATATGTCTTCAGCGACAACAAAAACTCTACTGAAACCCAATCGACCTTCTTTGTTTCCAAAAAAAAAAAAAAAAAACTCTCAGTTGCTTCTTGAAAATTTCCCCCCTTCACCTCAAAAACCTCCCCAAAGGGAATGATCTCATCAGGGTTCATGAAATTGATTTGACTGCTGCATGTTTTCCTAAATGTGGCCTGAAAACTTCACTGATCTTGTGATAGAAAGCACAGAGAGCTCGTTTCACAAGATCGAATGAAAATTTGTCGAATAATATATAAAAAAAAAAATAGAAAAAGAAGGGAAGACATCATTTCTGTGTTGCTTTCTTTTTGCTTGATCATTTTCAAACTTTCCATCACAGCATGAGGTTGCCTGGTCTCAAGCCGAGCTTGTTCTGTGTCGTTTTTCATAACAATGTAGATTGTCTTAACACAGATGTCGGTATCGCTTGAAAATTCTGATTTAAAGACGCTCCGATTAAAGTCTGTCTTTTAAAATATCAGCCCTTTACCATCTGCAAACGTACTTTAAAAAAATATTGGTTTTTAATCATGAAATCTGGTCACTTTCAAAAACCGGCAGATTTGCATTATACCGTCCACACACATGCAGCCACCTGTCAAGCCTGTTGGATATTTAAAAATACATACTTTGATCGGAGCCTCGCTCGGAAAGTGCAAAACACACTTCCACCATATGACGCACACCACGACGCACCTACACACCCCGCGCACATGGACGCGCCGCTGAGTAACGGCTCATACCTCGGTCCTGTTTTCCCCACAGTCAGGCTCCCAGGAGGAGCATGTGTGGAGAACGCGTCTCCCAGCTGGTGCATGTCCACGTCCTCAGCTGTCGCTGCTAGTTTGGCTTAGCTTCCCATCGTCTCACAGCGATAACGGACGAGGAGAGACTCATTACGGGCTGCGAATAATTCAGAGCTCGTGTCACAAAAGCGATCGTTTCGGCAAGCCGTGCAGTCGCAGAGCTCTGCAGACAGTTTACTTTTTAAGTGTACGACGAACGTCGCCCTGTCTGTTTTGTATTTTGCATCCGCCCGCGTCGGGCTTTCACATGACACATCAGCTGACAGCCAGCTGCGTGGTGGTGGCAGTGTGATTTGTGCTGTAGAGTACAGTATGCTTGGGTATCTTGTGGCATCTCTTCTCACAGCTGTCTTTAAAAAAAATAAATGATTAGCAGCCTTATTGAATCGCCTCTTTATAGGTCTGATAAAACAACCTATTCCTGTGGTGGGCTTTTGGCTGTATGAGGAAGCAGCTGCTAATTGTTTCGCTGTCCTGTTCAGTTTGTCCGTCCGATGTGTCTGTCTGTAATGACCATACAACAGCTGCATTTCATCTGGGATCAGTGCGACAAATGTTCCAAATGCCATTTGGGGCGAGCATGATGAAGTGACAGGGAGCATGTTTTCATTACCATAATCGAGGTGAGATTTTTCGTTTTGGTCAGAGAACCAGCAAAGATCCTTGGCTGTGTTTTCAGATGTGTGATGCTGATTAATAACCTGAATTAATTAGCAGTTAATCTGAAAGTGTCTTTAGTTCTTTGGCGCTCTCTTTCTCTCTCTAACTGGTCAGATGCTGTCCGGTTGAAGAGTTGAACATCATTAGCATCCTGATCTAGCTTGTTGGAGAATATATTTTACGTAGACATGTTGGTTAGTGAGCAGTTTTATACTTTTTTTGTGTTCCAACATGATTTCACAAAAACCTAACTGAGTCCAATCTGTTATACTGTAGATGTTGCACTTTTTTCTTGTTTGCTGAACACTTAGCAACTACTCTGTGTAAAAGTAGGAATGTGCCAGTTTGATATTCTCGCAGTACGATACCTTTGTGTAAAAAAAAACTATACAGTAAATCACAATGTTAAGCAATAATGTCGCCTCAAAGCTGTTTTTAATGTCTTTGACAATGTTGTACTCTTTTCAGGTTTGAGTACAACAGCATACGGGTACATCTGCATAAATCACAAAAAATATTAAAAAATTCCTTCATTTTGTGTATTGACAATGCTTAGAACTAAGCGTTTTAAGTGTTTTCTTCTCTTAATTTTAAATAATTAGGTCTCAACTACTAATAAAATTGAGTTTTATCACAGAAATATGTGGTGAAGACTGCTGACATGGCAGTTGTCTGGACATTTCCAGGGAATTCAAGCCACTAAACAAGCCAGCTGTTCAGTGTTCGGTCTCCTGAGCGTGTTAATGGAAAGTTTTGAGTAGAAACTTATTTGAATTTGGAAAAAAGTTGCACAAGCAACAGGGATAATCGCATGGTTAGGGGGCTGTGAAGCAAATCATATTTGGTAGTTAAGGCAAGGCTTCATGGTTTTATTGTTATGCACTTTAATCACCTTATTTCAATGTTTTAAAGTGCTTTTTATGAATCAAATGAAAAGATTAATAAACTTTGGCAGTATATCACTTTCTGGAATTAATCTACATAATGTATAAGTTTCACTTTCCGAAGTACTAAAATAAAATAACTATGATAATATTCCAGTTCATTGAGATGCGCCTGTAGACCATGATTATTCTTTTGCGTTGGCATATTTAGATTTAAAGTATTATCTTTCAAAGTTTCCAAGAAGTTTTCAACATTTTGATGAAACTCAGCAATTATAAGGATTTGATTTCGGTATTTCTAAAGAAGATATTTTAATTGAACATTTGCAGAGATTCGAAGTAACTCGGCGTGCTGTATTTTGATCAAATGCGATTATAAAGGTAACACATTGCATTGTTTAAATACAATTTCAACAGAATCCTCTATATCCTTTTCTTACCAGAAACAAAACATCTTGATTCAATGCCAATGATTTAGAACTTAATCTGCCAGAGGCATGAATCATTTTGGGCTTAACTGTACCTAAAACCTGCATAGACACAGCTTGCTTTATTAATAACTAATGCAATAAACAAAATAACTCATCTGTTGCATATTTATTGGAAGACTACCTGAATGCAAATCTGACATATAGTAAATGTGACACGTCTTCATTCAAGTCGCTTCCTTTTCTGCTTGGAATTCAAAGGTTAGCGAAAGAAACCAATGGTAACCCACTGGAGATGTAGGCGGGAAAAAAAAAGGATTGTCCCATAGCCATTTAAGAAGAAGCACAGTGTGAGAATTGAGGATTACTGTTGTTCTGTTCACTGAGTGAAAGAGGATAAAAGAACCATGTTAAAAAAAAAATAACCATGTGGACTTGTGGGAGTTTACCAGCTTAGTTACATTTCAGAGTTCAATCAGAGCTTATCTGAGGATAGTTTTGCTTTTGTTTATGCTGCTATCAAAGTTAAGTGGTAATATATTTATTAAAAGCAATTTTAAAAAAAACTTTAATCAACTTCACTTGTAGTATTTGGGTCTCCCGATCCTTTGAAAGCTTTTGCTGCAAGTCATATTAGATAAGTACGCCTGTTTAATAACTGAAAAATGTAAATGGAGTTTTTATTCACGCTTTGTATATTATCTACATAATGAATGTTTTGGCTTATTTGAATACATATTAAACATTTTTCCTTGATGCCGTGTTTTCAAAGCATTCTGGGTCATAAAAGCGGAAAGATGCAGGGAAATTGCAATATTTATAAAACCTAAAAGCAAATAATAGCTATCAGTGTGTGTAGGTAGCACCGCTTTATGTCAGAAAAGGTTTTTATATACATATATATATATATATATATATATATATATATATATATATATATATATATATATATGTATATTTGTTTTTTGTTGTTGTTGCAAAATCAAGTTAAGCACTATGAATTAGTTCCTCGGCTTTTCAATTGCTTTTTTTTTTTTTTGATGCTAAAAGACAAGTGAGGGGATTTTACAGTAGTAATATGTGTAAAGAAACTTGTGCGTTACGTTTGAGTGTTTCCAGCTGGAACACAGGGCCGGACTGTTCCGGATCCTCGTTATTAACGTGTCAGGTCATGTGTGATGGAATGTGGCGTAAGGGTGGCTGCAGCTCATTTTGTCCTGAAACAATAGAAATGTTCCAAGGCTCAGCATATATAAATGGTTCAGGACAATGACAGAAAGCTTAATCAGACGTTTTAGATTAAAAAAACAAGAACACAGTCAAGGTTCTGTTAACGTGTCTAAATTATTTGCTCTAGTCGCTGTTTTCTTTGTCCCCCGCTGACATTACAGTTTGAGTCAGAACAGAAGGAGGATTATTGTCTGTGGAACAACAATGGGCTGGAGGAGAAAAGAAAAATAAAAACCCTGATAACTCTCCTGGGTGCCAACAGCACATTGTTCTTGGTGTTTCCTCCGTGATGTGAATGCGGTAGGTGTCCTCTCCTTGTCCTGTTTCTGCCTCAGATAAGCACCCGTCACCAATACGACGGCGGCTGCTCGTCAGCTCGCTTACCGCTCACGCCGACGAAATGGCAACGTTCCACGCCGTCGAGTCGCTCGTTTTAATTGGGCAGCCGCTCTTTGGCGACGCTCGGATAATACGCGGCCAAAACGCCGCACTTAATGATGAACGGTCAGCTTTGCATAAAACTCTTGCTCATAAGTATTTACTGTCTTTATCTTGGCAATGAGAAAAGGTGCTGATTGTCAAGGATATTAAAGAAATTAGCTAATGTAAAGCCGGTCGACTTTAAACACGCCGTAAGTCTTTTATAAGCCTTCTGTCGAGGCACTAACGATGATGCAAAAGTGCTTTTAGATGTGAATATTGATGGTTTGATTCACTGTTTTGCCCCATTATTATTCCAGTAGATTGCTTCCATTTTCTCTTGCATTTTCTCGCCACTGCATCTGATGAAATAGCTGTTTATCACTCTGCTTGTTGCATCTAAATAATGTTTTTTTTATATGTGTGTGTGTTCCTGCTTTGTAGGCCATCACATCTCATTGACATGCTTAACATTTTCTCGTCAGCATCACCACAGAGCATGCTGTCCACAAAGGTTTCTGTCTCGTGGAGTTCTTCCAGTGTTGTGATTTTAATTGGATGTAGCATGTTGTCTACACTGGTTCGAAAAGTCTGTGCTGTTTTTGAGACTTTATCCGCCGAGATGTGATACAACTCTGTAATTTATTGGATGTATGTTAGAGAAGTACGAAGATGCTGACCATCATGGAATTTTTGCATTGCAAAAAATTGAAAATTTGAAAACAGAAACGTCTAAAAAATGAACTTGGAGTCATAATTAACATCTTAATGAAAGGCTCAGAGAATATTGGTTGCACATGTGACTAAATTACCTTTTTTTGTTAGAAGCACTAGTGCTAAACATTTCATGTCTCTTCCCATGAAAAAGATGGCTGTTTATCTCTGTACAACAAGCAGAAAGAACAAACTCCAGTTAAATCTCCCACCTGTCGACTCCACTAGCTCCACCTGCAGCTGACACTGAGTCAGTTACCTTTCAGACAGATGCTTACAGTTTTCAGAATGGTCTGGTTTGACAGTTTAACTCGTTGCCACTTTGTCAATTTCTTTGAGCTAATAGGATTGCAGCCAGGTTCTGTCAAAACGTTAATACCCCTCTTTTCTGGCTGAAGTGGCTCGAGCCGTTTATGTTCGTTCAAAAGCAACATCTCTTACTCCTTCAGAGGAAGGGTCTAAGAAATGTATTCCAGACAAATAGCTCTTAGAATCTTGCTAAAAACCATCAGTCTCTATAAAGGGTGTTTTATATATTCCTGCTGCAGACTGGCGGCAACTCTTTTCATATTTGTTAATTTGTTAAAGAGAAGTATTTAAGTTTGTTAAATGTTTTACTTGCCGTTTCAAACGACATGCTTTGTGCGTCATAAGAAATTCAATCAGCTGTGAAAAGTTACTCATTAGCCCCATTTTAACATAAATGTACTTTGATTTTATTTCATGAAATAAAAACTAAATTTAATAATTAGACATATAGTAGAGGTTGGCGATGTAGATTTAAAGTTTTATCACAATGTTTTGCGTTTTGTGTTACTATAGAGACAATAAAAACTATTTCTTTGTGCTTTTTTATGGAGCTACAGAATCACTTTAAAAAAAGAACAAACACAAATACTGCTGTTGAAAAACATTCTCATTTCTAATACGATTCTTCAGAAAAACAGTCACATAAAAAACTGATTTGTATCATTAGGCTACCTACATTAAGCACCTTTTGTTATATTTTCACATTTATTGTCATTTACTGACATTCTTATTGAACAAACAGTAGAGAAAATAGTAAAGCTAACAATCCAGACAACATAGACTTTCAGTATAATGAATTGGAATTTATTGTGACAATGATAAATCAAAAGTCTTAGAATTTATCTAAATAAATGATAAACGATACGATAAGTGCCCACCACTAATGTACAAAATCAAAGTAGTTTTGAATATACGTTATGTTATACCCGTTTGCTTTTTATAGAACAACACAAGTGTATGTGGTTAATTAGTTGGGCTGTCGGCAGTCCGCCTTATCTCTAATTTAAATAATGATGGGTAGCGTTGTTAGTTTTCACTCAGTTTTCTCAAACTCATAAAAGGAGGGGGGAATTACATGTTTTCTCAACCAGCTGACTGGCAGTGCACAGCCACTTCCCTTCTTCCCACACAGCTGGAGAAAACAACGCTCTCTGGCGTTGCCTTGAAAGCTTTAGAAATTATAGGAGCAGTTTTACAGAGAATGTTTAAGCTTTATAGCTGCTGAAAATATGTAAAATCCGTGCCAGATCTCAAAACAAATTAACTTTTTGAACAATTGCATTTAATTTCCCAAAGACGTGAGCACGACAACTAAGTGGTGGTTCTTCAAAGTCGAAGAAAAACCTCTAAAGCAGCGTGGGTTATATTTCATTTTTAATTGTATCATTTACAAACAAAAAGAAAATATTTTGTTTTGCGGCTTAAATGCGTGACAAAGGGAGCTGTCATCCTTTTGTTCTTTGGAGAACAAAGCTTGTTACCAGGGGAGAAAAATGCTACTTGCAGAACTCTTGCAGGCACAGATTTATTTTCTGGAAGACCTTCCAATGAAATTGCCTTTTTTTCAATCCTTCATCGCTTATTGAAAAGCCCAAAAGTGTTGTTCGGTGACTTCAATGACAAGCTTGCTAACCGGTGTGCTTCAGTGCAGAGAAGAGGCTTTTAACAAATAAAGACAGCAGGAGTGGACTAAAATGGATTGCGAGTCGATAATTGCTGTATCTCCTTTACCAAAGAAGACCGTCCTATCTCTGTTGTTGCCTTGTAATTGAATCACATCCTCCTGATAAACCAAAGACCCTCTTATCTGGGAAAAAGAAGGCCTTTCATGATTCCAATAGACCTACCTTGTTTTGGTTTGCAAATGTCATAAAATTCACTAAATTCTCCAGTTAGAAAATTTCTGAAGAAAAAAAAAAGAAAAAAAGACAGCAGCTGCAGGCTTTAACGAAATCAGATATTCAGACCAGGCCACTTTGGATGCAAGGTAAATAATGTGGACACTTAATACTTGTATGCGATGTGCTGCATCCCATTCTGGAGAGGATGAGGATTACCTTCTAAGAATTGCTTTGCCTTCTGTCTGTTGTTTCTCTGTCCCCTGCAGGCATCATGGACTCGGCCTGAGCAGCACAAGGTATTCTAAATGCATGGCTTTTTCCTCCACCCATCCATCATTCACGTCAGGGAAGTCTAATTCAATTCCGAATGGATGCAGATCAAAATTCTTGATCAAATAAGGGTCAACGAGAGTATAAAGCGCTGAGAATGATGCAGTAGAGACAGTGGTGCTGGTGGGATTCTGTCCGTTTTGGCTTCACTTCTGCCAGTTCGACCGCAACATTTTTAGCACAGTCGTTGCTTTGGAAAAGTATTTATACACCTTCAATTCGCTCACGTTTTGACTTGTTAGAATCACAAACTTTAGTGTATTTTATCCAGACTTAATGTGATAAGCTAACACAGTGTAGGAAATAACTGGGACAAAATAGGAAAATTGTGTGTGTTTTTTTTAAATATATGGCTTAATGCCAAAAGAAGTTAAGTAATATAAAGTTTTTTTATATTGCTTAAAGATTGTGTTTAACAAAATACAATCCCTATCTTGAAACATATTGGTGGCAGTATCAGGGACCACTTCTTTATTACTACACATCCACCAGTGTTGTGTTCAAGACCACCTAACCCGAGACCAAGAC